GGACATCATGCTTGGGAGGGTGGAGTGACAGCGCAGGAGGGGAAGGCCCTCTATGAGGTGGATTGATTCAGTGACTGGGATGGTAGTGTCAGATTGGCACAGGACAGAGCAGAGTTTAGGGCTTTTGTACATAGGGTCGCTATGAGTCGCCAGCGACTCGTCAGCACATAACAACAACAAACAACAACATGCATATCATCAGGTGAAAACCATGTCCTGCATTTATGTCTCTTAAAAAATGTATTTGCTATTAATAAGTCATTGTGCAAAATTCAATCATTCTCTTTCCAGCTCCATTTCTGTCTCCAATTTCCATGTTCAAAAAAAAATAGGTGCAGCCCTGGAGGTGCATACCAGTCTATGGCAGGAAATTTGGAGGACAACTACCTGGCCAATTGACAGGAAGACATCCATATTTGTTGCCATGCCCAAAGAAGATTATCCAACACAGTGTGGAAATTATTAAATTCTATCATTGATGTCACATTCAAGCAAAATATTGTTGAAGATCATACAAATATGCTGAGAAAATTCCATTGACGTAGTACTAGCAAAGGTTCAAACTGAGTTAAGAAGAGGCCATGACACCAGGGGATAATTGTTGCCCCACGTGGAAACTGCTCAAATAAAGGACTCCAGGAGAATGGACATGCGGTGCAAAGGAAAGGTGTCCCCCAAGCAGGGCTTGACCGAAGAGCTTGACTTTGACCCCTAAATCAGGTCTGGACATACAGTGTAGGACGAGGTAGACTCACTAACAAAATGTGCATCTATTAGGCCAGGGTCACCATCCCCATCTTACAGATGGGAAAACGCATAGGTAGGTGCATGACAGACTCAGACATGTAGAACACCAGAGACAGGTGAAATACGGGGTGAGGAGACCAGGCTTCTGACCTAAATCTGGCAGTTCTACTCCACAGGCTGCTCAGTGGGGAAATGAGACTGTCTTCTCCCTTTAACTCAACAGCCTTGGACTGTCAACACAAATGCAGATATGGATACAAATGCAGATATGGATACAAATACAGAGGGGGCAGTCCTCCAGGAGATGGTGCCCCGGTGCATTCAACTGCTGAGCAAAAGATAGGAAACGAATCCAGACATTGGCCCCACAGACAAAGTCCTAGCCACCTCCTTCCAATTGGTGCCCATGATTCAAATGCGACTCACAGTGATCCCCTTGTTTCAGTCTGTGGCTCCTGAATCTCAGTATAGCAATTCAGAAAATGGGCTGACGACTCCTGCTTTGGTGAGATGTAGGGTTTCTGATAGCATAGTGGTAAGATCTCAGTGACAGTGAGACACTAATTGTGAAACTGTGGCATTGCTATGGGAGAAACGGTGAAAAGGTATAAGCAGAGAATCACTGACATAAAGGCCTCAGTTAAAGGTTTTTGCTATTCTTGCCAGAAGCTTGATGGAGAAGCTGACTTATAATTTGTCTAAGGCAAACCTTGCTGTATGATTTGTATTTAACTGTTGAACTGAAACCAGATCCTGATCTAACTGAGCCATTATGCCTTGGAATTTGGGCTGAAATCTGGAGTCACATTGGATGATATTCTTTGCCACCTCTACTCTCTGACTTACTTCCCTAATAAACCCCGTTCTCACTACACTGACACTGTGAGTCTGTGAGACAGCAATGATACACAAACTTCTTGTTGCTGCAGTGGCTGTAGAAACCCGAGAGGCTGAACTAGGGGCTCTTTAACTGCTTTCTGCTCGGCTCCTGGGAGGGGCTGTGTTCTTCTCACTTGCTCTGGTTCCTACAGAGAGACTTTCATGTCCCTCTGCCACCGTGGCTCATTTCTCCTCAATCAAGGCCATACAGTTTGAAAATACTTACTATGTGTCAGAAAGCTGGAAAATCACTAGGGATGATGAATGGAGAATTAATGTCCTTGAGCTGTGATGCTTGGGAAGAGAGTTGAATTTACCATGGACTGCCATAAGAAGAAACAGGTTCGTCAAAAGAAGGGAAAGCAGGCTTCTCCTTGAAGGCAAGGATTCTGAAGCTTTTTCTCACATATTTTGAACATGTTGTAAGGAGGGACCAGTCCTTGGAGAGTGACACCATGCTTCACAGGTGCCAGAGATGAAGACTGTCGATTTAATGGATTGATTTCAAGAAATGGGATAGTTGGAGTTGGATTATCAGAGACAATAAGATTGGCACAGGATAGAGCAGGGTTTATGGCTTTTATACATAGGGTTGCTATGAGTCGCAGGACACTCAATGGCACATAACAACAGACAGTGATACATGACAGTGACTCAGACATGGATGTAAGGAACTAGCAAGGAGGAATGTAGCCACGTTCAGCTTTGCTTTGCAAAAATCCTGTTCCCAACTGTTTCACCCTCATGCCCCTTCATTTCTCCCAGCAGATCCGAGCCAGCAGGTGCAGTGTCGAGCCTCCAGGTACCCGAACGGCATAGATTGCTCCTGGACACAGTCCCCAGCTCCAAAGGCCAACATGTCAACCAACTTCATCACCACATACAGGTCAGAGAGCCACAGAGTAGAACAGTCTTTCAGGAGACCCCACAGTTCAGAGAGCAGACTGGGTTCTAGTACCCCTAGAAGTGTCTTTGAAGAAAGTCCTAGTGATCCTTCAGACCCATCAGTCACACAGTACCTTGTGGCGCCCAGATCTGCACTGACACATACGGGATCGGCCTCTGGTTTTATTCTGAGCACATACCAGTTGCCATTTAAAAACAGATGCACACGTTCCAAAGGAATTTTAAATGTTTTACAAAAATGGAAAAAGTGCTAGCTTGGAGCTCTGGTGGCATAGTCCATGAGGAGTGCTGCTGCTGACCCAAAGGTCATACCTCTCTGGAAGTTCAAATCCACTAGCGATTCCAAAGGTCAAAAATAGGCAGTCTCTTCAAATGTGATTTATAGGCTTAGAGACCACGTGGGGGGGGGGGGGAGGGGACTGTCACATCTTCCCAGCAATGAGTTTGATATTTTTTTCAACAATAGAATTTTTTCCCCACACAAGTCAATGACTTAACCTGAATTGTAAATGTTTGTAAAGAGTTTGATCTTTTTTGTTTGTGTGTTTTGAATGAGTTATGTGTCGTCAGAATGCAAACTGGAGAGCCAGTGGTTCAAGTCCACTAGCAGCTCCACAGAAGACAGACATGCAGTTTCATTACTTAATAATTTAAAACTTCAGAATCGGTGGTTGACTTGGAACTCAAGGCTCCTCCAGGGTCTCCAAGGGTCAGGATCTACTCATAGTGATGAGTTTGCTTAGGAATTGCTAAGAGCCTGTGGCTAAATTTAAATTAGGGAAAATAAGATGAAACAAGTCACACCCACATCACTGTTCCATACACATGCCTGGAGGGTGCACACTGCCCTGCCCAAAGAAAACAATGGGAATATTCCAGGACATTCTACCTGATAGTGATGAGGTAATTCTAAGAACATTCCAAGTTCTGAAATCTAAGGAGTCACAGTAATGTACAGATCAGGATGTCCTTGTTTCAGTTTCCAGAGTCTGGGAATCTTGGGCCTCTGGACTACTGGAATTCCACAGGTCGAGGGGTAGACATTCCAGAATCCCTTAGAATGCGAACACTGAAACATCTCCCTGGAGAGGTCCTGTGCCTGCACAGTCCCATGGCAGTGCTAGAGCAGGACACAGTGCCTTTTCCCTGTCCCCTGGCAACTGCAGACCACCAGCCCCTCACAGTGTCCATCTCCTGCAGGGTCGGAATGGAAGACAGCAAGCCCTGCAACCAGTTGATACCTGGCTCCCTCAGTTGTAGCATCTCAGACTTCATGAATTTCTCCAAGTTGCCTCACGTGCTCAGAGTCACTGCCATCCACCCCAGTTGCACCAGCACCACCCTCCTGACCTTTGTGCCTGATGAAATCAGTGAGTGGGGGCATGTGGGGTGGGGGTGGAGGCTTCTAGGGGGTTCTTACACCTCTCTCCTCTCTGTACCTGTCCTCCAATACTGTCCTCTCTATAATCTACGCAGATTCCACCAACTTTGTCCCCAATCCTCCTCTACTTGATTCAGACCTGGTCTCACAGCCCCCACAAGCTCTTCTCTACATGAAAGCCAGAGGGCCCCCATGAGCATGGGAATTCATCCCAGGTCTCTCTGCCAACAGCTCTCTAGGGCACCCACCTCCCTTGGGTAAAACCACAAGTTCTCTCCATGTGCAGGGGACCCCGCACGCCCTGCCCCAATCTCTCCCTGCCCTCCTCTCCTCCTCTCTCCCCTTTTCACTCCACTCCAGACACCAGGGATTCCTCCCTCTTCCTCTAACTCGCCTAGCACATAGTGCAGCAGGGAATTTGCAAAGGTTGCTCCTGCTGCCTGGAAGGCTTTTCCCACAGAGAAATTCTGGCTTCCCCTGCACTTGCTGCAGGTATCTGCACGTATGCCACCTCCTCCGTGAGGCCTTCCCTGAACACCGTGTTAAAACTTGCAAACCCTCATCCACTGCTGGAGTGAATTAAGATGGTGCAACAGCTTGAGGGAAGAGTCAGCAGTTCATCAGAAGGTTAAGCACAGACTTCTGTACAACACCGAAGGAGCCCTGAAGGAATATTGGCTCAAGGACATGGCTGCTAACCCATTGGTTAATTGTTCAAACCCAACAGCAGCTTCCTGGGAGAAATGGTTTCTAATTTAGATCATCAGTTGTCATTATTTGCTGTTGAGTCAGCTTTAACACAGAGACCCTATGTACGACTGAGCAACTCTGTAGCTGGTCCTGAGCCAGCCCCACAGCTGCCACTGTGCTTCACCCCATTGTCACAGTCATCCGCCATTCATTCCAATCCACCTCGTTAAGTGGTTTCCTCCCTTTTGCTCACCGTTGTTTTCCCAAGGCTGGTGTCCTTTCCCAGGGACTGACCCTGTCAGATAACATGCTCAATGTCTATGAGATGAAGTCTCCTGCCATCTTTGCTCTAAGGCACACCCTGACTTCACTTCCTTCAAGACAGATCTTTCTGTTCCACCTGGCAGTCCATGGTGTATTCAATATTGGTTAAGTATCTCCCAATTTAAAGGCATGAATTTCCCTTGAACTTCCTTATTATGTGACTTTCTTATGCATATGTTGTGCTTAAAAAACATTGGTGTCAGGTAGGTTAACCTCAGTCTGTGTGGTGGCATCTTTGCTTGGCCTTAGAAACCATACATGTTGGTTCTCTTTCATCCTAAATGGTAGCTGTCAGTCAGAATTGCCTCACTGGAGGTGGTAATAGAACACTGAAACAGGGTCACACATATGTATGTACCTGAGTGTTCATAGCAACGTTACTCCTAAAACCCAAAATGTAGAAGCAACCTGAACGTCGATCATCAGAAGATGGAGAAACACGATACATCCCAGCTGCCCCAAGAAACCTTGCTCAGTCGTGCAGAAGGTAAAAAACTCTTCAACCCACTGCTCCATGGATGAGGAGGAGGAGTAGGAGCAGCTGGTCACAAAAACCATGTGTCATAAGACTATATTTGCTCATCCTGTCCTGACCGGGGAAACCCATAGAGTGATTAGCGGCTGCCTGGGACGTAGGGCAATGGAGAGTGGCAAGTGGCTGCTGGTGGGTCTGCATTTCCGATGGTGCTGATGAAAATGTTCTAGAATTAGACAGGAGATGATTGTACAACCTGGTGAATGGAAGTAATATCCTGAATTGTATGCAACAATAGGGTAATTTTGGGGGGAGGAGGAACTCACTATCCCTATGGTCTGGGGTTGGGAGGTGGTAAGGTTGGGAGTGAAGGTGGGTCACAGCTTTAAAAAAATTACATTTTAAAATGTCATTTGTTTTTAAATGACAATCCATTCCCAAACTGCTGCCTACTCTGTGTGATCTGCTATCTTCTCTCCTGTTCCTTACCACCTCTTTGATGACTAGAAGTTCCAGGAAGACAGAGCTGGGGTGGTTTCTATCTTAGTTCTGCTTCTGGCCTCTGGGACAGCACTGGATATGCAGTGGGTGATTAATACATACTTATTGGTTGAATGAATGAATGTAACAGGGTCCTGCCTCATTAAATCAAACAATTCTGCAAAGAGAAGGGACGAGAATTAAATGAAGACGCAAAGAGGCTATCGCTGATGGCGAATAGCAAAATTTTATTTTTTTAGACAAAATATATACATAGGGTCGCTATGAGTCGCAGGCAACTCGACGGCACATAACAACAACATATATATATATATATGCTTTTAGTAGTACCTCTGCTATAACAATCGCATTATCTCATGCAGTCCCAAGATGGTGACCGTCTGGTAAAACATTAACTCTTACAAACCTCAGCACAATAAGCACAATACAAAGATGTTTTCCAGAACACCTTATTGTGTGCTTTAAGGACAAATGGTTTCAGTTTATAAAGACACTACATTCTTTAAGGTTTAAGACATTTGGTCATTCTTATATTTTAACATCCTACTTCCTTGAGTTGTTTACTGCCAAGCAGATACTCTAGCCAAGATGGAGTTAGTTTTGCTGATTTTATGGTACAGGGCTTATCTTCCTTTACAAGTTAGCCAGGCCCTAACATGAATGAATGCCTTCTGCTTGTCCATCAGTCAAACCCGACCCTCCGGTGAACATCCGTGTGAGCCGCATCCCTGAAAATTATCTGCGGGTGCAGTGGAATCCTCCTGGATCATGGCCCCTCCCAGAAACGTACAGACTAAAATACCAGCTTCGCTACAGGCGCTGTAAAGCTAAGCACTACTGGCAGGTGAGGAGCATGAGAGGGAGGGCAGAAAGGGGCCTGGAGTGGTACTAGGTATGGCCACCTCAGTAGATGGGATACCACATGTAAACATGGAAGGGTCAGCAGGGCTTGTGCACACTTTGGGGTGAATTGTGTGTAATATAAAGGAAGTCAGCAATCGAACCCCCAGAAGTACACCCACAATATGAAAACTCACCTCCACACATCGCTGTTTCCTGCAGCTCTCTTTGCGAGAGCCAGGAGTAGAACCTGCCCAGGTTCCATCAGCAGGTGGTCTGTCTGCAAAGAAGCATGAAGCCCACCTTGTTGTGATTGTTGGTTCCACCACATCAGTGTTGACTCTTGATGATGTGTGTGTGCCTCGCCATGCCACCCTCATCATGTTCACTGTGCTTGAACCCACTGATCAGTCATGGTGCCATCCACTTCATTGCAGTGCTATTTCTCATGTTTTGTCTGTGCTTGGTTCAGACACTAGCCCCGTCCAGGCCTGTGCCCTCTTCAAAATCTGTTCTGCATCCCAATCCTGGCAGTCACCTGGTCAAACCATCTCTCTGAGTGATTCCTCTCTCATTGACTGACTTTACTTCATCGATCATGAAGTCTTCCTCCAGGGCCTAGCCTCTCCCAATAACATCCTCAGAATAATTCTCCTCCCAGGAGTGTGCTCAGAATAACCGAAGGACTCAGACACATGCACATGCATGTTCAGAAGAGCACAGGTCATGGTGGATAACAGGTGGAAACAAACTGCTGTCCATTCACAGGAGAGAGGCTTTACACAGCACACTCCATTTATACAGAGGATTGCTATTCAGTCATGAAAAGAAATGAAGTCCTGATGTATGCTGGGGCCTGAGACATGATGCCAAGTGAAAACAGCCAGAGACAGAAGACGGATGGCGTGCTGTAAAAATCTCTTTATGTGAAATATCCAGAGTAGGTAAACCCATAAAGACAGAAAACAGATTAAAGTGATAGAGTATAAGAATGTTACTTTGAGGCCTACTATGCGCCGGATATAAGCCATGGGATTTCAACTAACAGAGATGCATGTGAAAGCTGGATCATGAATAAGGAAGACAAAAGCACTTACATCTTTAAACTGGAGCACTGCTGAAGAATATTGAATACACCGTTATGGTGACCAATGCATGAAAACATCTGTCTCAAGGGAAGAGCGGGTTGGATTTTCCTTAGAAGAAAGCATGGTGAGATATCATCACACACACTTGGGGCATGGTATCATGAAGGGCCATTCCCTGGAGAAGTCCATATTCATGAAAAACAGAGGGTCAGCAAAAAAAGAGGACGACACTCATTGACATGGATTAATACACTGGGTGCACCAGTGAGCTCAAGTACAGCTCAGAAGTGCGGGTGAAGGTGGACACTGGAGGGTGAATAGGTTAGGAAGGGAGGGGCCCAAGGGGAGAGTGGGGTGTGTGTGTGTGTGTGTGTGTGTGTGTGTGTGTGTGTGTGTGTGTAATGCTGGTTGAAATGCGGCCAGGTCTCATAGAGGGGAGGACAGAAGGCTGCCTCATGCTCTGCTGTTCAAGTCACCCATTACCCTTCTTTTCCCAGGTGGGCCCCACTGAAGACACCACCTTAACGATCAAGTTGGCTCACTCAAAGGGCAAGTACTGCATCCAGGTCAATGCTCAGCACTACTTGGACTATGGGGAGCCAAGTGAATGGAGTCCTTATACTATTTTCTCCATCACTCCAGGCAAGTAATGGTGTCCTTCCTCCCAGCACCTCTGCAGAGGTGCTCATGAGATAATGCTGTCCTTGACTTCACTGCTGTTTTGCTGGGCTACCTCAGAGCAGTGACTTTAACCTATCTGAGCCTCATTTTTCTCATCTGTGAAATCGGGATGTTCTTTCTCTTTGTCCCACAATGGTGGGCAGTGGAATATGAATGTGAGAGTCTTCATCGCATTTTTAAAAACAATTGTTATTGAAATCCAGAGTTTTCCTCCTTTCAGTGGACATAAATGAAAATCCATTGTACTCTCAGAAATGGGCTCTGTCCTCTGAAAGACGAGATGACAGCGACAAACAAGACAAAGACACAACAGATTTCTGTTCTCCTAGGATTAGTGCTGACCATGGGGGCTGGGAAAAGAGATCTGGGGCTGGGGGAACAGGGCTCTGAATGTTTCTCTGAGGAGAAGATGTGGCAGTAAGGCCTTGAAGATCAGAGAATGTTCAAGGGCTTGTCTGCATTTCATTTCTATCCAACTCAAAGAGAGACCAGCCCTGAGTATCCTTCTTGGCCAGTAGAATAATGCCCCTCAAAGATGTCCTTGTCATAATCACCAGAACCTGCATGCAAGACAAAAGGGACTCTGCTAATGTGATTAAAGTGAGGTTCTTAGTACCCGGGATTATTCTGGATTATCAACAGATGTAATCACAAGGGAGACAAGATGTTTTGTCATGGATTGAATTGTATCCCTCCCTGATACATGTCAATGTGGATGGACTGTGATTTCCAGTGGTACAAAAGCTAAACAATCCTGTACCGTCTCCTTTGGTGAGCTGACATGATCCCCACTGTAAGAAGACTGGTGTCAGATGCAGTCCCATCACTCAGGTCACAGCCTTGTAAGGGGCACTTCCCTGGATATGGTCTGTATCACCTCTTATTTAACATGAGATTAAAAGAGAGGGAAGCAAGCAGAGAAAAGGGCCCTCCAGAAAGAAGACCTGGGAGAAGAGTGAGTGCATGTTGGGAATAGGAGTCACTGTGCTGAGAACCTTCTATACCCAAGGGGAAACTGATGTCAAGTCATATGGATCTCCAAGGAATGCTGAGCCTATAGATGTTGGAAAGAGACAAGGACGTCCCATAACGATGCTGGAGAGAGAAAGCCTTCCCTCAAGTCAGTGTCCTGGATGCAGCAGGAGTCAGAGCAGGAAATGTGAGCAAGGACTCAGAGCTGAGAACCATGTAGAACCATAAGCCAAGGAAATCAGATGGTCTCTAGAAAGTAGAAATGACAAGGACATTTATCCACCCTGGAGCCACTAAGAGAATAAAGCTACCCACTCCATGCTTCTGATTCTGAGTTTATAACACTGAACTTTTGTTTTTTGTGAAGCCCCTACATTTTTGGTGATATATTACAGAGACAGTCAACAGTTCATATGCTGTGTAACACGGGACACTCTCCAGCACTTCCTACATAGCCTTCATTTATTTTCTAGAATATTTAGTTGCTGTTTTATTGTCGGTTGCCATTGTTCAAATTTCAAGCCATAATATTCCATTTGACACAGGTTTTCTTAGCTGCAATTAATGTATTCATTAGAAAAAACTTTTTTAATGATATAAATGATATAAACTTTATACATGATGTTACTGGATGAAATACACAGAAATGATGTAGATTAATTCTTTGGGAAGAGATGTTGGAGGAAAGTTCCTGTAAGAAGGACCATCAGAAAGTTTTTCAAAAACACGGATCATGAGACTTCATCTAATAGATATTTGGACACATGATCAGGAGGGACTCATGCCTAGGGAAAGACATCGTACTTGGTTATGTTCGGGAAGACACTCAGAGAGGCAGAGTGATGCAGTCTAGGCAACGTTGGGGTAGAACAGGAACATCTGTGAGGATGACGCAGGACCAGCCAGTAAAGCACTGTGATGCACATAAAGTAGAGAATGTAAACTGATTCGGTGGAACCTAAGAACGAGAATTGTTACAGAAGTACAACCCCAGGTCTTTCTCCCTCAAAATGGTCAACATTTTGTTTGGACCACCGTACTATTTACTATCCCCCGAAAAGATCCTAACAAGACTTGGTGGCATAATGCCACAGTCTGGAGCTATTAACCAAAATGACAGTAGTTTAAATCCACCAGCTGCTCCGTGGGAGAGAGATGAGGCATATTCCTCCTAATAACATGTAAAGAGAGACAAAGTTTTACCATCCTTGCCTCTTATGAATACCCTGCTTGCCCTTTCTCTAAAATATGTTTGTTCTTTCTCCAATCGATGGGATATTCAGAACTCTTCTCTAACATCACAACACATAGACATCAATTCTTTTATAATTTCTATTCATTGTTAGATTTTCTTAGGCAGACAGAGTAAATCACAGAAAAGATAATGGTTTCATCAGGTGCACCCTAGTTTTTAAACTGGCATCATAGCTCCTTAACACCATCTGCTGTATCACAAGATGGCATGAAGGCCTCAGATAGAATATTCCCCTAATGCAGCATGACTTTTGATTTCTTGACTGTTAGTACCAAGGGTGTGGACTGGAGTTCCAAACAAGGAGAAATCATTGGCAACTTCAATCTTTTCAACATCATGCCTGGCAGATATATGATAGAATGTGAAATGTGAAGAAATTGAGATTGTTAACAACTATATTTTGCTTCATAATAAACACTCTTGGTAGCAGCCGCCAGGAAATAAAAAGATGAATTGTCTGGGACCTCTCCAGATTACTGAAGGGCAACGACTCAGTCTGGAAACTAAGTTGTGCCTGATCCAGGCCATCATCTTCACAATTACTTGTTATGTATTAGAAAGCTGGACAATGACAAGAGATTACACAAAGAGAATTGATGCCTTTGAGCTGTGGTGCTGGAGAAGCATTTTGATTGTACCATGAACGGCCAGAACAATCAAGTTTGTCCTGGAGAGGGTGAACTCAACTGTTCCTTGGAGGCAAGAATTTCGAGGCTTTGTCTGGCATCCTTTGGGCATGTTGCAAGGATGGAGTAGTCCTTGGAGAGGGACATCATGCTTGGGAGGGTGAAGGGACAGTGCAAAAAGAGGAAGGACCTCAATTTGATAGATTGATTTCAGTAACTGGGATAGTTGGAATAGGAGTGTCAGAGACAATAACATTGACAGGGTTTAGGGCCCCCATATATGTGACAATGGAACTGTGCACCATTGAGGTTTCAGTGGCTCAGAGCTTTCAGAAGTGGATTACCAGGCCTGTCTTCCAATAAACCCCTGAGTGAGTACACAAACCACCATGGAAAGGTTTAAAGTGGCAACAAAAAATTTATAATGTTGGCAAAGCATGTGGAAGTTGTTGATTGCCTTTGAGTTGAGAATGACTCAAAGCAAGACTATGGAAAAAAAGGCTTGAAGCCACTCTACAAATATAGACATTTATCAAACTTCACAGAATGTCTGGAGGCATGTTACTTACGAAGTGGTTGCCACTCCTGCTTCCATGATAAAATCTATTATCCAGCGTTTGGGTTAAAAAATCAGGATCAAGGTAGGAGACCAAAAAGTAATGATGAACAAAATATGAGGATTTTTCAGGAAAAAATTATCAAGGATTGATTGTGTCCCCTGGAAATACATGTCAATCTCTCTGACCGAGGAGTCTTGAGGGTTCAGCTATTATGTAAGGGTCACCACTGTTCAGTCAGCAGGTATAAAAATGTTGAGGGTGGAATGCAACATCTTTAATCCCACACTCCCCTGAGCTGATATCAGGGACTTTCAGTAGACCCAGAACCCCACAGGTTTCCATGAGTCTGATTCAGTGGCTTAGAAGCTCGTGTCTGGGTCCCCCTCAGTGGCCATCTCTCACTGCAATCAATTTCTGTGGGTCATCCTGTCTCTCTGTGTCCCTGCCTGTCTCTCCTACCCTGAGTGTCTTCTTGTGGTCTGTCCTGTGTCTCTGCCTCTCTTCCCCCACCCCCTGCCCCATTGTGTCTCTCCTCCCTATGTCTCTCTCTCTCTCTCTCTCTCTCTCTCTCTCTCTCTCTCTCTCTCTCTCTCTCTCTCCTGTCTCTGCATCTGTGTCTGCTTATATATCTGTAGATCTCTCTGAGTTTCTGTGTCTCTATATGTCAGTCTCTCCATTGGTGTCTCTGTATCCCTGGCATATATCCTCTCTGTGACTCTTCTCTTGTCTCTCTCTTCATATCTGATCTGCATCTATTTCTATTTGTATGGTTGTTTTAAGTTGCAAAACTGAGACATGCTATGGGGAAAAACCTTGAATGATCCAGGAAGCATCAAAAGAAGGTAGAAAAAAAGACATGGGGTTGTTGTACTATAAAGACCTGGGCGACACTATAACATTTCAGAAAACAGCATATGATAAAGAGCCACTGGTCATGAATGAAGAATTTTAAGCTGCATTGAAGGTACTGAAATAAGAAAAATAAGTTTCCAGAAATCAATGGGATACCAATTGACATGTTCCAAATAGTAGATGCAGCCCTGGAGGTGCACACCAGTCTATGCCAGGAAATGTGGAGGACAGCTACCTGGGCAACTGACAGGAAGACATCTATATTTGTTCCCATGCCCAAAGAAGATTATCCAACACTGTGTGGAAATTATTGAACTCTATCATTAATATCACGTTGAAGCAAGATATTGTTGAAGATCATACAAATACAGTGAGAATATTCCATTGGCATAGTACTAGCAAAGGTTCAACCTGAGTTGAGAAGAGGCCATGACACCAGGGGATAATTGTTGTCCCACATGGATCTTGCTCAAATAAAGGACTCACGGAGAACGGCTGCTGGTGTTCTATTGACTATGTAAAGACAATTGACTGTGTGAATCATAACAAACTGCGGCTAACATTGAAAAGAACAGACATTTCAGAATATTTAATAACATTTATAAGAAATCGATGCCTAGACTAGAAGCTGATGTCCGAACAGAGCAAGGAAAGACTGAATGCTTTAAAATCAGGAAAGCTGTGCTTAATGGCTGTATTATCTCTCCAAATCTATTCAATCTGTATGCTGAGCATGTGATTCCAGATGCTGGACTCACAGCACTGCTCAGAGAGTCTCAGGATAAACCCATATCTGGCCATGGACTAGTAACATGATATTTGCCCTAAGGTGCTAAGAGATAAAGAAAGAGGCAGGGGGCTCTGAGATGCTGCTGTGAGTGTGTGTGTGTGTGTGTGTGTGTGTGTGTGTGTGTGTGTTACTTTTCATAGATTTTTTTTTGTAAAGACTGTATATACAGGGGAGCTCTGGTGGCCTACTGCAAAAGGGAGTTTCTTAAGGGGTGTCTTACTCAGAGGCAAAGCCCCAGAGAGTGGCAGGGCAGACTTGAGTCTCAGTGGCCATAGCAGGGGTTCAGAGCCAGGGCTCCAGAAAGTCTATGCCACCCCTATAAGTAATTGTGATGTTAACCTCAAAATTGGCTACTTTTTTCTTTTTTTTTCATTACAATTAGCCTTCTTCGGGCTCTTAACTCTAGACACATGTTCTTGGAAATCATGGACAGCCTGTGGGACTGGGATAAGAGGAAAAGTGCTTCCCACGTTGGACAGAAAGACGTGAGGAGAGCAAGACTTGTGGCAACAATACTTGAGGGAGCCTGGAGCAAGACCATAGTGAGATTAAGACTCTGATGGTGCAGAGAATGTGGCATTGCTGTAGGGGAAAGTGTGGCAAGGTATAAGCAGAGGATCCCAGAAATAAAGGCCCCAGTTAAAGGTTTTTGCTATTCTTGCCAGATGCTTGAAGGAGAAGTTGACTTATAACTGTTCTCAAGCAAATCTTGCTCTATGATTTGGATTTGACAGTGGAACTGAAATCAGAACCTCAACTGAGAATCTGTGCCTTGGAATTGGAGCTGAAACCTGCACTTGCATTGGGTGATATTAGTTACCTCCTCTAACCTCCAATTTACTTCCCAAATAAACCCTGTTCTCAGTACTGCAGCTGTGAGTCTGTGAGTCAGGAACAGACAGACAAACCTCTTGCTGCTGCTGTAGCGGTAGAAACCCGATGGTGCTGGTCTAGGGGCTCTTTTCTGTTTTCTGCTCTCCTGCTGGGAGGGGCTGTGTTCTTCTCAATTGCTCTGGTTCTCACAGAGACAGCTTCATGCCCCTCTGCCTCATTTTCCCTCTATCAAGGCCATAATATTTGCAATTATTTGCTATGCATCAGAAAGCTGAACAATCACTAAAGAAGATATAAGGAGAATTGATGCCTTTGAGCTGTGGTGCTGGAGAAGAGTGTTGACTATAACACGGACTGCAAGCAGAAGGAACAGGTTCTTCTAAAGAGGGTGAAACTGGGCTGTTCCTTGGAGGCAAGGATTCTGAAGCTTCGTCTGACATAATAAGAACATTTTCCAAAAGGAACATCATGCTTGGAAGGGTGGAGGGACAGCGTAGGAGAGAAGACCCACGATTGAGTAGATTGATTTCAGTAACTGGGATAGTTAGTATAAGAGTGTCAGAGACAATAATTGGCACAGGATAGAACAAGGTTTAGGGCTTTTATACATCGGGTTGCTATGAGTTGCAGGCCACTCGATTACACATTACAACAACACAAAGTGATACATGACAGTGACTTAGACATGGATGTAAGCTACCAGCAAGGAGGAACATAGCCCCATTCAGCTTTGCTTTGCAAAAAACCTGTTCACAGCAGTCTCACCCTTATGACTCTTCCTTTCTCCCAGCAGATCAAAGCCTGAAGGTGCAGTGTCGATCCTCCAACTATCCGGTCAGCATAGAATGCTCCTGGATACAGTCCCCAGCTCCAATGGCCAACACACCCACCAAATTCATCACCACATACAGGTCAGAGAGCCACAGGGGAGAGAAGCCTTCGTGGAGACCCCACAGTTCTGAGATCAGGCTGGGTTCCAGGGCGTCGGAAGAAATGCCTGGTGATCCTTCAGATGCAGCAGCCACTCAGTTCTTTATGGGGCCTAGTTCTGTACAGACACACATGGGGTTGGCTGCTGGTTTTAGTCTGAGCTCATACAATTTTCCATTGAAAAACATAAGCACAAGTTCTAAACGAACTTTAAAGTGTTTTACAATAACAAATAATGTACTAGTTTGGAGCTCTGGTGGCAGAGCCCATGAGGAGTGCAGCTGCTGACCCAAAGACCATGCTTCCCTGAAGGTTTGAATCCACGAAAGATTCCAAAGGTCACAGATAGGCAGTCTCCTCAAATGTAATTTACAGACTCAGAGACCTGACAGGAGGCAGAGGGTTGTCAAATCTGAGACCCCTCTATCTTGCCAGCAATGAGTTTGATATTTTTTGTTTATGTGTTTTGAATGTGTTAAGTGGCTGGATGATACCTGATAGGTCAGTTCTGTCCACGAGCTGCTACAAAAAAGACAGATGAGCAGTTTCCTCTCTTAATGATTTTTTTATAACTTCAGTATCACGTGGTAGTCTTAGAACTCACAGAGCAGGGAGATACACAGGGTCATCAAGGGTCTCTGAGAGTCAGACCTCAGACCTGGTCCTCCAGGGTGTCAAAGGGACAGAATTGACTCAATAGTGATGGGTTTGGCTTATGAAGTATGAAAAGCCTGTGGAAAATTTAAGTTAAAGAAAATGAAATGAAATGAGGTCACACCCAGAGGCACTGGCTGCAACACTCCTGCATCACAAGTGTTCCATACCCACACCTGGGTGGTGCCTTCTCCTCTGCCCAAAGAAAACGAGAACATTCCAGAAAATTCCACCTGATAGTGATGAAGTCTAATTCTAAGAACATTCCAAGTTCTGAAATCTGGGGAGTCACAGAAATGTATAGACCAGGATGCCCATGTTTCAGATTCCAGAGTCTGGGAATCTCTAGACCTCTGGACTATTGGAATTCCACAGGTGGGGGGTAGACATTCCAGAATCCCTTGGAATCCAAACACTCCAGCATATCCTTAGGGATGTCCGGTGACCTCGCAGCCACAGGGAAGGGCTAGAGCAGGACACATAGCCTTGTCCCTGTCGCCTGATAATCACAGACTGGCAGCCACTCAGAGCGCCCATCTCCTGCAGGGTTGGAAAGGAAGACAACAAGCCTTGCTACCAGTTGATACCTGGCTCTCACACATGCACCATCTTGGATTTCGTGAAGTTCTCCAAGTTGCTTCACAAGCTCAATGTCACAGCCATCCACCCCGGGGGCGTCAGCACCACACTCCTGTCCTTTGTGCCTGATGAAATCAGTGAGTGGGGGCATGTGAGGTGGGGGTGGAGGCTATCAAAGGGTTCTTGATCCTCCCTCCTCTCTCTACCCGCCCTCCAATCCTGTTCTCTCTATAATCTATGCAGATTCTGCCCACTTCATCCCCACTCCTCCTCCACTTAGTCCAGCCCTGGTCTCACATCCCCACAAGGTTTTTGTCCTGCGACTGCTAGAGGGCGCACATGAGCATGGAAATTTGTCCCTGCTCTCTCTGCCACAGCCCTCCAGGGCAACAGCTTTCCTGGAGTAAAACCCCAATGCATTTCCGTGTTCAGGCGACCCTGCACAGCCTGCCCCATTCCCTCTCTGCCCTCCCCTCCTTATCTCTCCTCTCTTCATTCCACTCCAACCACCCAAGCTTCCTCCCAATTCCTCTAACTTGCACAGCCCATAGTGCCACAGGGACTTTACACAGGCTGCTCCCGCTGTCTGGAAGGCTTTTCCCAAAGAGAAAGTCTGGCTTCCCCTGCACTTGACGCAAGTTCTGCACATTTGCCACTTCCTCCATGGGGCCTTCCCTGAGCACTGTGTTAAAACTTGCAAACCCTCATCCACTGCTGGTGGGAAAGCAAAGCATGAGCTTTAGGGAAGAGTCGGCAGTTCATCAGAAGGCTAATCACAGACTTCTATACGACACAGAAGGAGCCCTGAAGGCACAGCAGCTCAAGCACCTGGCTGCTAACCCAATGAGGGTTCTTCAAACCCACAAGCAGCTTCCCTGGAGAAAGTGTCTCTAATTTAGATCATCAGTTGTTTGCTGTTGAATCAGCTTTAACACAGAGGCCCCATGTACGACTGAGCGACACTGTGTCTGGTCCTGAGCCAGCCCCACAGCTGCTGCTTGTTTCACCCCATTGTCGCAGTCTTCGATCATTCATTCCAACCTACTTCATTAAGAGGTTTCCTCACTTTTGTTGACCCACTCTTTTTCCACGGTTGGTGTGCTTTCTCATGTACTGGCCCTAGCTGACAATATGCCCAAAGTGTCTGTGAGATGAAGTCTCCTGCCCTCTCATTCTAAGGAGCACTCTGACTTCATTTCCTCCAGACAGATCTGTCTGTTCCGTCTGGCAGTCCGTGGTGTATTCAATATTCTTCAACAATCTCTCAATTCAAAGGCATAAATTTCCCTTGATCTTCCTTATTACCTAACTTTCTCATGTATATGTGGCAGTTAAAAATACATTGGTGTCAGGTAGGTGCAGCTTAGTCTGTGTGGTGCCATCCTTGCTTGGCCTTGGAAACCCTAAGTTTCGGTTCTCCTCCTTTCTAAAGGGTAGCTGTCAGTCAGAGTTGCCTCACTGGAAGTGTTAATAGAACACTGAAACAGGGTCACACTTAAGTATGTACCTGAGTGTTCATAGCAACATTACTCCCAAAACCCAAAATGTCAAAGCAACCTGAATGTCCATCATCACAAGATGGAGAAGCACGATGTGTCCAGCTGCCCCATGGACTGTTACTCAGTCGTGCAGAGGGCAGAAGCTCTGGAATGCGCTGCTCCATGCAGGAGGAGCAGGAGTAGAAGCAGCCGGTCACAAAGAACCACGTGTTGTATGAGTCGACTTCGTCACAGCATTGAGAAGAGGCAAACCGCAATGAGAGGCTGCCTGGGTCTTAGGGCAATGGAGAGTGGGCAGTGGCTCTTGGTGGTTCTGCGTTTCTTTTGGGGCTATTGAAAATGTTCTAGAATTAGACCTGAGATGATTGTACAACCTAGTGAATGAATGTAATACCCTGAATTGTATGCTACAAAAGGGTGACTTTGGGTGAGTGGGGTACTCACTGCCCCTATGGGCCACCAAGGGCATGTGTGAGCACGGGAAAGAGGATGGGTCACATATTTTTTTTTTTTAAAAAAAATCACGTCTTAAAATGTAATTTGTTTTCAAAACGACAACCCACTCCCAAACTTTGCTGCTGGCTCTGTGTGAGCTGCTGTATCCTCTCCTGTTTCTCACTGTCTCTTTGACAAGTAGAAGCTCCAGGAGGACAGAGCTGGGTGGTTTCTGTCAGTTACTTCTGTGTCTGGCTGGGACAACACTGGACATTCAGGGGGTTCTCAATACATAATTGTTGGTTGAATCGATGAATGAAGGCCTTCTTGTCCTTCAGTCAAACCGGACCCTCCAGTGATCACCAGCGTGAGCCCCATTCTTGGGAATCAACTGCAGGTGCAGTGGAATCCTCCTGTGTCTTGGCTCCTCCCAGAAACATACAAACTCAAATACCAGCTTCGCTACAAGCTCTGCAATGCTAAGCACTTCCTGCAGGTGAGGAGCAGGGGGGGGGGGAAGGGTAGGGCAGAAAGGGGCCTGGAGTGGTACTGGGTATGGCATCTACCCAGTAGATGAGACATGACATGCAAACTGTGAACGGTCCGCAGAGCTTGTGTGCACTGTGGGGTGACTGGTGTGTAATATAAAGGAAGTCAGCAATTTCACCCCCAGCAGTCCACCCACAAAATGAAAATGCACCTCTGTACATGGGAGTTCCCTGCAGGTCTCTGTGTGAGCCAGGAGTAGGACCTGCCCAGGGACTATCAGCAGGTGGTTTGTCTGCAGAGAAGCATGAAGCCCACCTTGTTGCGACTGTTGACTCCTTGTTGTCAGTGTCGACTCTTCATGGCCCTGTGTGTGCCCTCCCCGTGCCGCAATCACCAAAGTAATTTTACTCCCAGGAGGGTGCTCAGAATAAGTGAAGGTCGGACACATGTACATGTGTGTTCAGAAGAGCATGAGTCACTGTGGCTAACAGGTGGAAACAACCTGCTGTCCATTCAGTGGAGAGTGGTTTTACACAGCGCACTCCATTTATACAGAGGATTGTTATTAGTCCATGTAATGAAATGAGATCCTGATACATGTTGGGCCTGAGACATGATGCCAAGTGAAAACGGTTAGGTAGAGAAAATGGATGGCATGCTCTGTTAGACCATTTTGGAGAAATATCCAGAGAAAGTGAACCCATAGAGACAGGAAACAGATGAAAGTAATAGAGAGAAAGGATGTTACTTTGAGGACTAAAGTGCACCGGACACAGCTATGAGACTTCAACTGCCCCTTATACTTGTGAAAGCTGGACAATGAATAATGATTAAAGAACTGAAACCTTTGAACAGGAGTGCTGGTGAAGAATATTGAATCCACTGTGGGATGACCAAAGCATGAACACATCTGTCTCGAGAGAAGTGCAGCTCGAATTTTCCTTAGAAGAAAGGATGGTGAGATTTCATCACACACTTCAGGAATGGTATCATGAAGGGCCATTCCCTGGAGAAGCCCATCATGTGTGAAAAACAGAAGGTCAGCAAAAATAAGGAAGACACTCATGGGCATGGATTGACACAGTGGATGCAGCAATGGGCTCAATTACAGCTGAGATGTGTGTGTGTGTGTGTGTGTGTGTGTGTGTGTGTGTGTGTGTGTATGAGAGAGAGAGAGAGAGAGAGAGAGAGAGAGAGAAATGCTGGTTGGAACGAGGTCAGATCGCATAGAGGGGAGGACAGAGGACTGCCTCATGCTCTGCTATTAAGTCACCCATCCCCTCTCTGTTCTCAGATGGGCCCCACTCAAGACACCACCTTAATCATTAAATCGCTGCAGCCGAAGAGCAAGTACTGCATCCAAGTCAATGCTCAGCATGGCTTTGGCTACGGGGAGCCAAGTGAATGGAGTCCTTCATCCATTTATCCCAACACTCCAGGGAACTAGTGCTATTTTTCCTCTCAGCAACCTCAAAAATGTGCTCCTGGGGCCACGCTGGCCTGGATTCAAGTTCCTGACTTTGCTGCTTTGTTACTGGGCTACCTCAGATCAGGACTTTACCATCTCTGAGCGTCAGTTTTCTCCTCTGTGAAATGAAGATATTCTTCCTCTGTGTCCCACAGTGGTGGAGAGTGAAATGTGAATGTGAGTGTTTTCATCACTTTATTAAAAAAGCAACAATTGTTATTGGAATCCAGAGTTTTTTCTCCTTTCGTTCAATGGACACGAATTAGAATTCACTGAACTCTCAGACCTGGGCTCTGTCCTCTGGAAGGCAAGAGACACAACCAATTGCTGTTCTTCTGGGGTTAGTGCTGACCATAGGGGCTGGGAGCGAGAGTACCTGGGGCTGGGAAAGCTGGGCTTGGAAGGTTTCTCTGAGCAGAACACGGGTCAGCAAGGCTTTGAAATTCAGAGAATGTCCAAGGGCTTGTCAGCATTTCATTTATGTCCAACTCAAAGAGAGGCCGGCTCTGGGTATCCATCTTCACCAGTAGAATAATGACCCTTAAAGACGTCCTTGTCACTGTCTTCAGAACCTGAATGAAAGGCAAAAGGGACTCTCCTGATGCAATTAAAGTATAGATCTTGGTACAGGGGATTATTCTGGATTATAGAGTGATGTAATCACTAGGGCTCCTATAATAGGGCAAAGCTGGGCACAACTTGGTTGGTGGCGGGAAGCTTGGAAGGGCAGAAGGCCTGCAAAAGACAAGACACCTCATCCGAGCTAAAACCCCCCACCCGAACAGGTAAAGTGGAGGCTCCAAAGCTGCAGGCAACTGGGTCAGGCCCTCGGGCCAAGAAGAAACTTCTACGCACCAATTCCACAGAGCACATCATCTCCATTAGGGACACATTATCACTAAACTTAGGAGACTCTGGTCACAGCATAAGAAACTGTTAGCAGCTGATTAATCTGGAATCACAGAAACCAAGGAAGCTTTAGACATAAGCTATTGTTTCAAGGCCTTGACAATGGGAGATAGGTGATGAAGGGAGTGGGTAGAAGTGGAGGAGTATCTTGATGGATGGTGGAGAAAAGAAATAAGTGGATCAGGGCACCTGAGCCAAGGGCAGGGACAACACCGAAACTAATGGTTAATTCCACAGTAAGGGATATCTTTTCTCTTTTTCTGTAAAATGCTTATCTGTTGGGTACTTCTCTAGATCTGAACATTCAGATTGACATACACTAGGAAGAAGGATTGGCCATCCACTTCCAAAATAGCAAGCCTCCGAAAACCCTATGTACAACAGAACACACAAAGAATGACAGAAGGGCAACTGAGTAGTTTGGAAATACAAAGGAATAGGAACAGTTGTAAGCAGACACTAGTGATTAAAACATGGAATGTGAGATGCAAGCAAGATTCTGCTGAAGATTATCCAAAAATGATTGGAACAGCTTATCAGCAGAGAACTGCCAGAAGTCCAGGGTGGGTTTAGAAGGGTTTGTGGTACTAGGGATACTGTAGCTAATGTCAGATGGATATTGGCTGAAAGCAGGGAGTACCAGAGGAATGTCTCTCTGTGCTTCATTGATTATGCAAAGATGTTTGACTGTGTGGACCATAACAAACTGTGGCTGACTCTGAGAAGAAATACCTACTAGGGAGATATATTATTAGGCAAAACTTTATAAAGCCAATGAACTACTTTTAACAAGAGAATATTAGAAACATATGCCCAATAGCTGGTATGATTTGCTATTCTGCACCTTCGTCCTGTCAAAGTGTGGCCTCTTTGAACTCATCTCGGGGTTTCACATTTCTGGAGGGCACCCACAGCACTTCTGAACCTGTGGATATAAAAGCAAACCCTCACACCCCACCTAATGACAAACACCTTTTTCGATTCATTAGTTAGAAATTGCTGATAATATATAGGCTGATTCAATTCTTTAGAGGATTGTAATACCCAATGTCTTTCTGCTGAAGTTTCTCCTTGTTCATTGTTGTTGTTGTTGTTATGTGCCATCAAGTCGCTTGAGACTCATAGCGACCCTATGTACAACAGCGCTGAACTCTGCTCTGTCCTGTGCCAATCACACTGTCTCTGACACACCCAAGCCGATTGTCCCAGTCACTGAATCAACCCACCTCATAGAGGGCCTTGCCCTCCTGCACTGTCCCTCCACCCTCCCAAGCATGATGTCCTTCTCCAAGGACCGGTCTCTCCTCACAACATGTCCAAAGTATGTTAGGTGGAGCCTCAGAATCCTTGCCTCCAAGGAGACACCCAGTTTAACCCTTTCCAAGATGAATCTGTTTGTTTTCCTAGCAGTTCATGGTACTCTCAATACTCTTCTCCAACACCACAGCTCAAAGGCATCAATTCTCCTTCTCTCCTCCTTGATCATTGTCCAACTCTCTGATGCATTACAAGTGATTGTGAAGATCATGGCCTGTATCAGATGCACCTTAGTCTCCAGAGAGACACCCTTGCTCTTCAATACTTTGGAAAGGTCCTAACAGAAGACTTTCCCCATTTAAAATATTTAAAGTAAATAAAGCTTTTTGTAAAAGAGTTTGAAGGCATGAATCGTATCTCCACCCTTCTGTGTCTTCAACATAGTTTATAAAGTCAAATTAGCCCTTTCTATTATAGCTTGTCCTGCAATAACATAGTAACAGCATATAATTCAACTAATTTTATAACCTGCATAATCCATTTTAACTGATAGTATTCAATTAGTTTATTTACCTGATTTCCCTTTGTATTAAAAAACACTTTCTACTTTATCCCAGGCTTGCATACAGCAAAGCCTGACTTGTACAGTCACAGCAGCATAATATTGTAACTGAGCTCGTACTCCAAGCCATTGACCTTTCCCCAACAATTGATCAGCAGTAACAGTAACAGGAGGATTTCTAGATAAATTAATCCTCTCCATATTTGTAGCTACATCAGTCCACCAAGTTCTAAACCGTAAATATGCTCCAGATTCCAAAACCCTCCTGACCATGGACTCCCAATCATAAGGGATTAATCTAAATTCTGTAGCTAATCCTTGTAATATGCCTCTTACACAGGGAGAATGCATACCATAAGGAACTATGGCTTGCTTTAATTCTTTAATAGTCTTATAAGATAACGACTGATGTTGATACAATTGAAACCCTTGGGGGTATTCTTGTTCAGGAGGCATATCCTGAATTGTTACTGGAAACACAGAAGCTCCTTTCCCCCAATTAGATAAATCATCTTGCTTTGCCTGTTACAAGACCCTAGACATGGCTGTTAAAAACTTCTCAAAAGTAGTCACTCCCACCAGAGCATGATTCATATTACTAAATAACATGGAATCTGGAACAGTTGCTGCTGAAGGTGCTGTATGTTTACTTCGGTAATATACCTCATTCCCAAAGAAGGGCGACCCAACTGAGTGCAGAAACTACAGAACAATATCATTGATTTCACATGCAAGGAAGATTCTACTGAAGATTATCCAAAAACGACTGGAACAGTACATCAGCAGAGAACTTCCAGAAGTCCAGGCTGGGTTTACAAGGGGTCGTGGTACTAGGGATATTGTAGCTGATGTTAGATGGATCTTAGCTGAAAGCAGAGAATACCAGAAGAATGTCTATCTGTGTTTCATTGATTATGCAAAGGCATTTGACTGCGTGGATCATAACAAACTGTGTCTGACTCTGAGAAGAATGGGAATCCCAGAACATTTAATCGTGCTAATGCGAAACCTATACTTGGACCAAGAGGCAGTCGTCAGAACAGAAGAGGGCAACACTGCATGGTTCAAAATTGGGAAGGGTGTACGTCAGGGATGTGTCCTGTCTCCATACCTTTTCAACCTGTATGCAGAGCAGATTATCCGAGAGGCGGGGCTCTATGAGGAGAGGCGTGGTGTTAGGATTGGTGGACGATCTATCAACAATCTGCGTTATGCAGATGACACAACCTTGCTTGCTGAAACTGAGGAGGGCCTCATGCACTTACTGCAGAAGGTCAAGGACTGCAGCCTTCAATATGGACTGAGGCTCAATGTCAAGAAGACAAAAATTCTCACCACTGGACCAATTGGTAGCATCAGGATGGATGGCGAAGAGATTGGAATTGTTCACAGCTTCAGTTTCCTCGGCTCCACGGTCAACACTCTTGGCACCAGTAGCCAGGAAATCAAAAAAACGTATTGCGATGGGAACATCTGCGGTTAGGGACCTCTCTAAAGTACTCAAGAGCAGCGGTGTCTCTCTGGAGACTAAGGTGTGCCTGATACAGGCCATGGTTTTTGCAATCACTTGTTATGCATCAGAGAGTTGGACAATGACTAGGGAGGACAGAAGGAGAATTGACGCCTTTGAGCTGTGGTGCTAGAGAAGAGTATTGAATGTACCAGGAACTGCCAAGAAAACAAACAGATTCATCCTAGAGAGGGTTAAACCAGGCTGTTCCTTGAAGGCAAGGATTCTGGGGCTTCGTCTGACATACTTTGGACATGTTGTAAGGAGAGACAGGTCTTTAGAGAGGGACATCATGCTGGGTAGAGTGGAGGGACAGTGCAGGAGGGGAAGACCCTCTATGAGGTGGATTGATTCAGTGACTGGGGTAATCGGGATGGGTGTGTCAGAGACAATGAGATTGGCACAAGATAGAGCAGGGTTTAGGGCTGTTGTACATAGGGTCGCTATGAGTTGCAAACGACTCGACGGCATATAGCAACAACAATATATCTCATTACAAGAACCCAATTTGTCTATTTTATTAGAAAATTCCAAAACTTGATTACTTAATTTCTCATAAGGACTATCATTCTGAATTATATCACTCAATTCCTCTGGAGTTGGAGGTGGAGAATATTAATCCTCCTTTGTATCAGATTCACTATCACTTTCTTCTGAAGAGGTTTTTTTTCTTCTAACTTTTCAGATATCTCCTCTTCCGACCTTAATGGTTTTAAAGCCATAGAGATCAAATCACACAGTAAGCAAACCGAAACAGGAATCACATCTGCCTTTTGATAAGCTCTTTCTATAAGTGGCAAAGGCTGTTTCTCAACTTCAGCTTTAACCTCTTTTAATTTAGTATTACTTAATTCAGATTCATGCAAGGATTCAGCCATCTTTCTTTGCAAATTTTTTTTATTATGAGTACAATCCTGCAAATATTGTTTCACCATTCTTTACAAAGCTCTTAGTGGTCTGTTCTCTTTATAAAGCTTGCACAATATTTTGCCAAGTTTTTAAATTTAACTGTGCTTTATTTACCAGTTTGAACCAGTGACACTGTTTCTGCACATACTGAAACAACTGCAAAAATAACTATTCTCTTAATCCTGAGTTCTTAAGTTATTCTTTAATTAATGTAAGGTACTGAGCTTCAGAAGATGGGCTGTTTCCCATGACTCCTTTTTTTTTTTTCAATTTTACCTCTGGCCTTTTAAGCAGTTCACTTCAGACAGAGGATGGGAAACTCCCATGAAATATTTTCTAATTCTTCCCTCGACTTTGTCCATTGAGGGGTGAGAGAATCCTCATGAAATTTTTTCTAATTCTATCCTTAACTGCCAAGGAGTGAGGATTCTTTCATAATGCTGTCTTTAATTTTCCCAAAAATTTTACTTTCCCTGAGCGAATTCCCTTTTGGTTCCTGGTGTCTTCTCGAAAAGAGAAAGAAAGACCACCACCTTATCCAAAGAGAAATCACTACCTTGTCCCTTTTTGGGCACCGGAATGTTGCAGACCAAGGGTACAGTATTTTTATAATTATTAATAATGAGACAGATTATCAGGAATGATATAGAACAGAGAGCATGAAAAAGAGGGGGCCCACAGTTCCCATGACTTAAGGCCCCAAGCCACGCCTCTCTGGGTATTTATTCAGAATCATAAGGAAGGTAGACAAAGTAAAATCATAAAGTACAAAAGAAAAACATAGGATAATGGTGAAGTCTTGCAGATAAGACCAAGTTCCTCGTTATGCTAATCTCAAGAGGGAAGGATTCAGTTAATACAAACGAAGAACAATGTTGACTCTTAGGGAATGCCTTAGTGCAACAAGGTGACCTTCAGCTTGTATTAAGCCTCCCTCATTTCCTGAGATATCATTTGGTTTATTATTAAAATATTAAATTTAATATTCTGCTTCCCTTGACCAGGCACCATCTTGCACGGTTTCTGAGGGCTTGCACGCTTTGTACTTAAAATCATTTATCAAGTGGGGTGGGGGGGCATTTTACAGATTAAGAAACTGAGGCCAAGTAAGAGATTAAGTCACTTGTCCTAGGCCACACAGCTTGCAGGATGCAGTGTTTGAAATATCAAGGGGAATTCAGAACTTTCAGGGGTCAGGCTCTGTCAGGTCAGTAGAAAATACAGAGTCTAAGGGTTCAAAACAATGGGACTTTCACACACGTTTGGGCCAAAATAGAAGATCATCTTTGGAGTCTGGACAATCTGAGAATCCAGACATCTTCAGGATCCAGACGTCCTTGGAGCCCAGATGTCCTGCGTCGTGCACTACTTGAGCTGGAGATGCTGTTCATGGAGAGTGAGAGGCATGTGGCTGAAGCCCAGCTGTCTCCAATGGAGCAGCAGCTGAGCGGCTTCGTACTGAGGCCGAGAGGGCACACCAGGCCCCGAGCCGTGCCCTGGAGGCCCTAGACAAGGCCAAGGAGAAGGCCAAGAAGGTAGGTGTCCCCTCTCCTGCCCTTCAGCTAGAGGACCCTGCTCAGTTAGGGTGGGGTTTCTAAGAATATCCTACCTAAGAAGGACTTGGGAAATGAACCCATTCCACTGATGGGAGACCACGGCACAAAGAAGGAAACTCAGCTGCAGCCACTGAGCGAGTCTGACACACAGTCACTGTTCTGACAGCTCATAGTAACAACAGTGACATTTACTGAGTGACAACTGTACCCAGCCACGTGCCATGCACTTAACACTGAGAAGCCAAACAGATTGCATTTTATAACTTATCCCCTGGGTGGAAAATTTCTATCCTAAGCCTCAAAGCTTTTAAGTTACTTCCCAAACAGTAAATGCTGTTGTACATATCTCAAAAGGTAGATGTTTTGCAATCTGTGTAGCCTTGAAATGTTTCAACAGGAAAAAGCTGTCCATGTATTTCTGTGCCTTGAAGTGTTTCAATAGCAGAAAGCTGTAACAGGTATCCCAGCACCTGGGACAAGCAAGAGTATAATAACCTCCTAACTGACACCAGAGGGCAGGTGATCCTGCCTTGTTGCTGGGGCCCCTTGCTGCACAGCTAATCAAGGACCTCACCTGTAGTCCTGCTGTTTACTTCCTTAATCTGTTCAGCACAACATTTTGGAGGCCCCAGAAACATACAGAGACATAGCAAAAACCCTCTGCACCTCCTAGGGGGTAGGTGTGCCATATCCTACCCAGAAGGCATGTGAACAGATTTGGTTCCAGGGCCTCAGGAAAGGGCAGGAGGCAGTCCGTTCTGCCTGAGAGACTTCGAATAGACTCAAGGACTTTCTACAAGACTCTCGAGAGGTAAGAATTTTAGTTCATTCTGTGTCTGGTCAGTGATTGCAGTCATCAGGTGGAGATCAGGGAGGGTTGGATGCAACACAGGGCTCCCCTTCTCCTTCACGTTGAGGAAGAGGTTGGATGTGACCCGGATTCCCCTCAGATGATCCTGATAAAGCGAGGTCCTCTGCTCTAGGAAGCCATTTTGTCTGATCTGTGTGTCCACACACCTCCACCTCCACCCTCAGAGAGTCCTGATAGTGTAGGGTCTGCTGGCGAGGGAAGCTGTATCGTCTGTCCCTCCAAGTATTTTAGGCGTCTTTTGTCTGTCTGATGTTGGGTTGCCAACTTTGTCCATTTTAATTAGGCGATTACATACGTTCTTACATCATCTAACACCTTCTGTGCATTCGTGTACTTATTGCTTTGACAAAAGGTGTCTTTTCAGGCCTCATTCTGCCTGCTTTCTATTCTCCAGAGAAACTTATGGTTTGGTTTGCCATATCATTCTCTCTACCATTGACTATTGTAGCCTCTGTCCCTTACAAGAGGAGGCCCAATTACTTCTTGCCCACATCTTCCTTCACCCACCAGCCCCACTCACTCCCAGGCAAATTCGTTTCTCAGATAAGGAGCTTTGAGTCACGTTTTTCTGCCCTTAAGTCACATGATGTCCAGATTCTCACACCTTTGGCATCTTCCAGGTCCATCAACTCTATCCTGCACGCCTTCTGTGACCTTCTGAGGAGTCCTCCTTCCCTATTGCTCTGCTGCTAGAGCAAGTACCCCTCCTTTCACTCTCTGAGGCTGCCTCGCACCCGTCCCTGTGCTGATTATCTGTCTTCCTGGTCTGTGAGCTCGAGCACCTGAAAGACCAGGGTGACTTGCAGGACATTGTCCTACCCTTCTGTGCCATCGGAATAAACTGGGATCTCTTTATTAACTGAATTTTGTGCACCTGAAATGATTACTAGCAGCTATTGCAGATTCTATTTACATCAGATGAACGGGATAGGATTCTAGCAGAAGTTGGGAAAGTGGTCCCTGGGCCAGTAGGAGCCATGGGGCTGGAACAGGAGGCCTGAGAAGTGCAAATCCTCCCGACTCTCCAGCCAAGCCAAAGTGGGACCCCAACACTAGTAGAGGTAAGAAGTCTCTCAACACCTACCAACAGGCTCTGCTGCAGGGACTCAGGAAGGCTGTCCAGAGGCTCACCAATCTCTCCAAAGTAAGCACTGTCATACAGGGTCAGATGAGTCCCCGGTGGCTTTCTTAAATGTCTCCTTAAGGCCTATAGGTTATAAACCCCAATTAATACTCAACAGCTGAAAATGTACAGGCATGAAACTTAATCTTTGTGGTGCAGTCTGCCCCCAACATTAAAAAAAAATTGCAGAGAATTGAAAGATTGGAGGGAAACACCAGGTAAGAGCTAGTGGCAATACTGCAGTCTTTAAAAATTGGGAACCCCCAGAGGAAAAAGGGGATAGAAGGTAGAAAGAGTGACCATTGCCACCTTTCAGGCTCAGCATGAGGCCAATGGAAGGCAACATAACAGATCCTCGCAAAAAGGAGAAAAAGCAAAGTCCAGGCACCCACGACTGGCAAAAAACCAATGTGCCATTGTAGGAAGTATGGGCACTAAAAAAATTAGTGCCCCTATCAGGGCTCAGAGAAAACCTTGGAAGTTCTGGTCTTCACTCTATGAGAATGCCATTCTGAGCCCCAAAGAGTCCATGGTAATTACAATGTTTTGGGCCACCCTTTTTAATTTTTGGTGGACATGAAAGCTGAATTATCAGTTAAAAGTAGACTTGTCAAAAGACATAATCTCAAAAGAAGGTTTACTTAGAGCATAAACAAGCGATATATTGATTCCTTGTAGTTTCCAGGGATCTCTCCCTTTAATAAGCTGTGATCTGTTGCTGAAACTGAGAGCCACTAACTCATTCTTTTTGGAGGGCCTGACTGTGACACTGCCTATGGCCCGTCAACTGACTATTATCACTTCCTTGTCCAAAGAATACCGGTTGGTTCTAAACAAAACCAAATCAGGTAAACACCCTGTAAGTTCTTTTCTCCAGAAATTGCAGCCTTTGTATCCTCCAGTCTGGGCTGAGACCAACCCCCCAGGATTGGCTGCACCTCATCAGTGGTGAGCTTGTTGATCAACCAGCCAAGGGTGACTTTTATCCAGGGCCAAAACCATCAACCCTGCTCCATTGTTGTCTGATGATGATGATCCTGAAAGAGTCATGCATGAATGCCAGAACCCAGCCACCCTGACCTGAAGGATGTTCCCCTTGAGGAAGTCGATGCTACTCTCTTCTCTGATAAGAGCAGCTGTGCAGAACAAGGAATCAAAAAGCAGGAGAGGTAGTGACCACCAATAAAGAAATCATCTGGGCCCAGGCTCTGCCTGTTAGAACTTCTGCACAAAAGACTGAAATTATTGCCCTGGCATAAACTCTGAAGTAGGGAAAGAGACAAGAGAATCAATGTTTACACAGGAATGCCTTTGACCCCACGCATGTACATGGACAGATATATCAAGAGAGGGGCTTGCTCACCTCAGAGGGAAAAGCTATCAAAAATAAAGAAGAAACCCTGGGTATCTTAGAAGCTATTCCCCTCCCATTCAAGTGACCTAGCAGCATATATCAGGGCAGCAAATCCAGACATTTAAGCCAGTTTGGGGGGGGGGGGTTTAAATTTTTTTTATTGATATTTTAACAAAAGTTTGGAGAAAACTTGGATTTCCATTCATTCATTATTGCACATTTTTCTCCCTGCCCCAACCTCAGTTTGTTTTTCTCTTTCAAAAGATACTTTCGTATACTGAATTGAAACAGATGAGGGAGAAAACTGCTTAAGAGGGAAAATTATTAGGGATTTTTTTTTCATGATTGGAGTCCAGAGCAAAGGCTGTGGAGTGGAGTGGACCTGGGGGGAGGGATTGTAAAACAATGAAAGAATTTTTCTTTTACTTTTCCAAGAGGGTAGTGTACTAGGGGGGAGGGTTGGGAGGGGAGAAAAGTGTAACGATGAATGAATGGAAATCCAAAATCTGTAAATTTTCACTGAAATTAATAATTTTTTTTAAAAAGATTCTTTCATTGTTGCACATTTTCCTCTCTCCCTCCTGGCTCTCAGTCCACTTTGCAATGAACCTTTTATTGTGGACTGCTGTCATGCAAATAATACCTAATCATATATTTCTTTTAGACATCTCTTCCCCCATCTATTTCAATGCAATGTACATTACTTATCCTTTCTTTTCCTGGTTTTCCCCAACCTCATGTCAGTCCTGTTTTATAACAGTGGCATTATGAAGTATGTGTCCTTTTATGATTGAGATATTTCATTCAGCATAATGTTCTTCAGGGTCACCCTTTTTGTATAATATTTTATGAGTTCCTTGTTTTTTAGTGTTGTGCAGTATTCCATTGTGTGAATATACTACAGCTTCCCTATCCACTCATTTTTTTTTATGGACACTTGGGTGACTTCTATCTCTGCTATTGCAATAACATGAGTGTGCATATATCTGCTTGAGTGGCAGTTCTAGTTTCCTTAGGGTATATTCTCAGTAGTACAATTGCTGAGTCAAATGGTATGTTTATTTCCAGCTCTTTGAGAAAGTGTCATACTGCCTTCTGGGAGGTTATATCATTTTACTCTCACCCAAACAGTGAATAAGGTTTCCAATTTCTCCACAAACTCCTCAGCATTTGTGGTTTGCTCCTCTAATGAACTTTGCTATTGTTACTGGTGTGGGATGATATCTCCTAGTTGTTTTGATGTGCATTTCTTTTAGAGCTAGAGATTTAAAACATTTCTTCATGTTTTGTTGACCACCTGAATGTTTTCTTTGGTGAAGTAGATGTTCATATACTGTGCCCACTTGGCGACTGGGTTGTTTAACTTGTCCCTTATCATTACCAAAGTTTCCCCAAACTGTGGCTTTCCTTTTGACCCTATTAGAAAAGCTTTTGGACATGCATCAGGATTTGTATCTTAGAAGGGCCCATTCATCTTTTTTAAATCTTCTGGTTGTCAGTTTTTCAGGGTGCTTGGAAGACTGTTCATGTTGTGGATTAGGGCATCTAGAGTTCTTCCAGGCTTTTTTCTGATGACGTTTATCTTCCTTGGTGTTACTCCTAGGTCCTCGATCCACTTTGAGTTGGATTTTGTGTATGCTGTGAGGTGTGGGTGTTGCCTGAATTTTCTACAGATCATTATCCAATGTTGTCACCATCCTTTGTTAAAGAGATTTTCATTTCCCCACTTAACAGGTTTCATATCCTTGTCAAACATCAGCTCACCATAGGTATAAGAGCTGATTTCTGGGTTCTCAATTCTATTCCTTTGATCTGTGTCTCTCTCAATCTGCCAGCACCATGTTGTTTTGAAAACCAAAGCTGTGTAGGAGATTTGAGATCTGGGCCTGAAATAACTCCTAACTTATTTCTCTTTTCCAGGAGTTCTTTTCTTATTTGGGGTCTCTTTCCATTCCAGATAAAATTGGAAATTGCCTTTTCCTTCTTGTTGAATAAAAGAATTGGTATATGTATTGGGATTACATTGAACATGTAGATTGCCTCTGGTAGAACTGTCATTTTCATATTGAGTCTTCCTGTCCAAGAGAATGGTATATTCAACCATTTTTCTAGGTCTCTTTTTATTTCTTGGAGTAATTTTTTCTCATTTTCTTTGTATAGGTCTTTTGTGTTTCTAGTTAGAGCTACACCCAAGTAGTTAATCTTGTGATTAGCTATTTTGATGGGTATTATTTTTATTACCTCCAGTTCTGAATTTTCTTTGTCATTGTAGACAAATCCAACAGATTTCATTATGTTGATCTTGTAACAGGGTCAAGCCCGTTATATCAAAACAGTTCCACTGAGAGAAGGGACGAGGATAAATTAAGATGCAGAGAGACTATCACTGGTGATGAATAGCAAATTTAATATTCTGGAAAAGTCTTATTTAGGTTTCCAAAACACACCTGCAGGGGTAATCACATTATCTCATTTCCGTCCGAGATGTTAACTGTTAGGTCAAACATTAGCTCCAACAGACCTCAACACAAAACAAAGATATCTTCCTGAATGCCTTATTGTGTGCTTTGAGGAACAAAGAGTCTCTGAGGATAAATAGCATCCCGTTCCTCGAAGTCTGAGACCTATGGTCACTCCCAATTCATTAGCATCCTGCTTCCTCAAATTATTTACTGCCAAGCAGATGTTCTAGCCAAGATGAAATC